CTATTTTCTTCCCCTTGTTAAAGTTTTTAATACCAGATAGGACTCTTTCTTTTATTAGATCCGTTTGAAATTCAGCAATAATAGTACTTTTTGTGTTTTCTTGATTCCTTACTCTGAAAACATTTTTGAGGTCTATGTCCTTTAATTCTACATTTACAACTTTGCCTAGGTCGTTTATGAATTTACTCAGATCCTCTTTCTTTTCAATTTTGCTCTGTCCAGTTAAGATAGATGGCACATTTCTTATTTCAATTGTAGCTGAGCAAGTTTTTTTCTCTAACAGCTCTACTTTTTCTTCGAGTGCAGCAATAGTTAGTTTATCTTCCTTCCTTTCGTTCTCCATAGTCTTCATTTGAACCAAGATAGCATCATATTTTTCAGATAGAAAGTTTAAACTGTCCTTAATTTCTTCATTCTGTTTTTGCATAGATGCCTGTAACTCCCTGAAACGTGCATCTTGTTGCGTAGACAGGGAGCTANTAATCATAATCTCGGAGTCATTCGAGCCAGAGTCGGGCGGGGTCCCAATTGCTTTTCTTTTGTGGGCCCTTTGAGAAATGTTCTCATATTCACAATCAGATTCTCCCATTTCTGGTTCAGGTTCGCTTTTGTTAGCACTAGCTTTCGCTTTAGTTAGGCTTTTCTTGCTAGATTCTGCTGTGGATACTTTAGTCGGTGTCCGTTTGAGAGGCATATTTTCTATTTGCATCTACGCAAAAACGTTAGTAAAGACAGAGCGCACCATTATCATCAGATGCAGCAGAAAAGTTAGGAGAGTCAAAATCAAGAGCAATAGCACAATTTAAACAACTAGAAAAAAGATTCACAAATAATCCAAACATCGAACAGGAATACAGATCATTCATCAATGAGTACATCAAACTGGGTCACATGCGAGTGACGTCTCCTCGTGACGTCAACACGCTACCTACTACCGGTGTCTACTTACCACATCATTGCGTTTTACGCGCGGAGTCGTCGACTACAGCACTACGCGTCGTTTTTAACGCCTCATCAAAAACCTCAAGCGGTCAAAGCTTGAATGATGTTATGTATCGAGGTCCCAACCTTCAACAAGACCTCCTATCACTAATTATCAAATGGCGTCAATATCAATTTGCATACACAGCCGACATTGAGAAGATGTTCCGGCAAATTCTTCTTCACAATGACGACCAAATCTATCAAAAAATCATCTGGAGAGACTCGCCTTCTCAACCCATGCAGGAATACCAACTGTCTACTGTCACCTATGGCACAAAGGCAGCCCCGTTTCTCGCCATGATGGTTTTAAAACAATTGGCCGAAGATGAAGGCCACAAATATCAATCTCCAGCCGCCAAGGTTCTACAAGAGCAATTTTACATGGACGACCTGATCAGTGGAAGCCATGACTTATTATCAGCCAAACAATTACAATCAGATTTAATCAATTTGTTATCAACAGGAGGATTTAACCTTAGAAAATGGTCAGCAAACTCGCCAGCTCTTCTAGAAGGAGTTAGCACAGCAAATATCAATGATCAATCTTACGATTTTAAATTCGAAGAATCGACAAAAACATTAGGCCTCCGTTGGCATCCTTTNTTAAGTATATTAATCTAAGTTCGCTAATATTTGATTTTAAAGTACAGGTGGGTAGGTTGTAAAAAAAGATCGGTTCCACGTAACACTTGTGCCAGACTCCCCTGTGCGGCCTCCCGCGGTCCCCGTGGGACGCCGTGATGTCCACTTCTCTGTCCCCTCCGGAACGGTCCACAATAAGTCCTGGCTCAAACTGAGCCCGGCCGTAATTCCTGCATAAACATTGTTTTATATTAGCCTTCGTGTGGGGTAAGAGATTGTACTGCCACGAATCTTGATTAGGTGATTTCCAAACAGGCGGAAGAATATAAGCCAAGCTAGGGAAGACGGCCAGCAAGTACTAGAAGAGGTCTAGGCATTTAATTTACTGGGATGTAGTGGCAGTTATAGATAGCAGAAACGGTTACAGTTAACTGATGGCTAATAAGAAAATAATTAAGTAATTTCGCTTCAAGGAACATAATTTAATTAATTTATACCAACCAATTTACCTACACAATTCGCTAAAATATTAATAAGCGTAAATCTATGCTATAAGGGCGATTACAACAACACTTAACTTCTACTATAAAAAGCATTAATTATTATTTGGAAACATACCCTATCTTAACAAATAATAAGAGATGCACAACTTACCCAGTTACGGGATGAAATGTAGGCTAGACACTTAAGTTTGATGGTTTTGAGGTTTTATTAAACTCGCACTATGAAAAACGCCAACGAGATCGATTATTAAGACGTGCGTCGCATCAAGCGGTACGCGGGTGCTCAAGTTCAAGTTTCAAGCGAGGCTGGCGAGTGTGGCAGTCTGTCTCTGGCCGAGACGCTGCGCCTGCGGCGCGCACTCCCCGCGCCCTTCGCCCCGAGCGTATTTACGTTCAAAAACTTATGATCCATTGAATCGTAAAATAAAAAAAAATAACATTTTCAAATGTTACAGTACCCCTCTTCCAAGAAAAAGATTTTACCTGTCGTAAAATCTGAACCCACACTTATGTTATGAATTAGCGAAGGATTATGCAAACATTTACTTGTTTTGCGTTTTAAGATCTTTTATGTGCCAAGCTCCTAAATTATGACCGGTCATAATATCCTCGAGAACATATAACTACTGGTGATTTTTTTTGCTTTATTCTACATTTAACGTACTTAGGTGCCAGCTTCTTAGCAAAACGTGCATCCTTGTCGCTCTGAAAGTAACATCGCTTCCAAACGATATCATCAACATTGAATTCAGCATGCTTTCGTCGCAAGTTATAACGCTGAGTGTTTTTTAAATGTGCTTGCCAAAGTGCAACCTGTACTTTATCGAAAATATTTGCCAAATGTCCCAAGTTTTCTGCATATGGGTCGCGTGGAAGAAAAATTAATTCGTTTGGGATATCATTTTTATTTATTTATTTATTTAAACTTTTATGCCAAAATAAATTTGTACATAAGGCGAACTTAATGCACTAAAGCATTCTCGACCAGTTTACCTTTGGGTTGAGCAGAAAAGAAATTTGTTTGGCGGTACTTCTAGTGCAGGAAAGAAAAACAAAAACAAATAATAATATGCTACATACATAAATAATATATAAAATATCGCTCACCTAGCAGTATAATGGCACATTTACCAAAAAAGCGAAATTGAGTTTTTACGGCCTAAGTGTTTAAGAGTGTATAATTTATAAAGTGGTAAAACGCCACGGTGTTAGTTTTACTATTTGTCGAGAGAGGGCGTTCAGTGTCATTGTACCACTTGCTACGTTCCCCCTGCTACCGCGCATNTTAACAATATACAAGCTTCAATTAATTCTGTAGATTCACCTAGGTAGGTATAGGTAGGTAGGTAGTGCCTTAGGTACTTTATGAACTTTAATTGGTAGGTAAACGTAGGCAGGGGTCAGGGACCTGTTACAATAAAATTATGTAAAATAGTTAAAATGCATTAACAACTTCTTTGGTTGCTTTAACTACTTTAACAAGTCAAAAAGTAACATTGTGTTCTGTAACTTGAGAATAAAAGCTTCGCACTTTCTGTTCAATCAACAAACCTTATAACTTTTCGGTTCAATTTGGAAAGTAATTATGCTTTGGCTTCTGTTTTAACTGAAGTACTACAAACAATACACCGACTACAACTAGAAAATCGATGGTAGTCTAATTAGTTATTAAAGTACCGTTTATGTACTAGGGTTGCTAGGATGCGCTGATTCCGGGAAACCGAGAGCAATTGCATAATAAATAACTTGTATGAAAGAGGAGATTATAAAACCTGCCGTGTGCCCAGGTATGATTTTTAGACTGCCTTTAATATTTAAAGAGCTCTCAAACCATAACAGCAACTTTTATATTTAGACTAAAAAGTAATTTCATGTTGTTGCTGAACTTGAACTTTATGAAAAATAAAAAATAAATTCTTAGCGATTAGAGTCGCTTCTCAAACTAAATTGTTAATAAACAACTTGAAAAAATCGAACTGCCTAAGATGGAAATTGAACCCACGACCTTTCGCTTGCCGGGCGACTGCTCTACCAACCAATAAAAAAATCGCAAATATTCGAGACATTAAAGTGAAATGACTGAAAACGGGACAAATTCCGTATTTACCGGACTTTTGGCAACCCTAACCACTCAATAGACATTTCATATTACTGCAGTTAAGCAGACAACTTCATTACAGGTAAAGTGCTTTTGAACCACGAGCAGCTGAAATACCCGTTGTTTTTCTTTGGTGACATTTTCTCTCGTATGGCTAATATTTATTCTGGCGGTTCATCTCAGTGCAGACTTGTACTAAAGTATCGATATTTTCAAAGCATTCACTCGTGGGTGAAATCTATTTACGGTACGAATACTCTTTGTGAATATTACTTGCTATATTAAACTAACAAAGCATGCCCACGTTGTATTGAACGCTGCATTGAGTATGAAGGTGCTGAGAGAATTTGTGCATTTAACCAACGAATGGGGCATCTTTTGTGATCGCGCTGTATTACTGGAAGCTCCATAGCAACATAATATGTGGTGGATTGAAACTTTCAATTTGAAAGCTTCATTTAGGAAGTAGATAGGCAGCGTAAATTTTTCTTCATTCCTATGCAGATTGTTCTATCTATATCCAAACTGATATTGTGGCGTGGTTCAAAAAAAGTCATTTTAACTGTTTAAAATTATGCAGATACATACTATAACGGACGAGTAAAAATATTACGAATTTGAGAAGAGTTGACTAAACTGTCAAAGATTATTTAGACAGCTTTTAAGAGGCATTTACTTTTGGAGGTTGTCGTCCCCAGTTTTTAGATAAACATTAGAAGGCTCACAGGTTCAATCGAAGTGACATTTAGACGTCTCAACTGACCACAGGGAGTTTGAGAGAAAGAGAGCTGAATCGAAAAAAGATTGAAATATCTCAGGAATAAGTGTCAACGATGGCTGAAGCCAAAGCTCCGGAGAACAGTAACTAGCTGTTCAAACATTGAATCAGGGTTCCGTTGGCTCTTAGCAAACAAGATCGAGGAAATGCTAGTAATAATTTATGCAGTAGTCACTAGCGAGATAGAGCTTGTATTTAATGTTTGGTTTTAATTGGTTTTGTGATGATTCCTTTTGAATACCTTCACGTAATGAGGTACTCTAGTAGTTAATAAATGATAAGTTTATCGAACTGCTTACTAACGAAACTTCGGGCGTCTGCTATTTCTACATAAGTAATCTACATACATCATACACGTTCCAAAGAGTCAATATACGGCAGCTGGTTTATCACAAAACGATGCCTAACTAGGCATTCAACTACCTTTATGTATGTTCTTGATAAAACAGCTTAGGTACTGCTCGTGTACCTTCACCTCCACTCTAAGCGGTAACCATTGTGCTGATGAGGATCCATTCATTCATTCTTCATTGACGCTAAGTGCTGGGTACACTGTCGTAACTCATGCCCGCACACCTATTCACCGAGTATATTCACGAGTTGAAAGTGCAATCCAGATCAAAGCAGATTAGGTATAGCTCGTGTAACTCACCTCCACTCTAAGCGGTGGCCATTGTTCTGATGAGGATCCTCCCATTGACACTAAGTGCTGGGAACACTGTCGTAAGTCATGCACGCGCACGCGTGATCTATTCAACGAGTATATCCACGATTTGCGACGCAATCCAGATTAAAGCAGTTTAGGTACAGTTCGTCTGCTCTCTTCACCTCTTAAGCGGTATTGTGCTGATGGGGATCCTGCCATTGACGCTAAGTGCTATCGACATGGTCGTAACCCGTAACTAATGCCCGCGCAACTATTCAACGAGTAATTCATGAGTTGCGACGCAATGAAGGTCCAAAGCAGCTTAGATATTGCTCGTGTAACCTCACCTCCACTCTAAGCGGTGACCATTGTGCTGATGAGGATCCTGCCATTGACACTAAATGCTGGGAACACTGTCGTAAGTCATGCCCGCGCATCTATTCAACGAGTATATCCACGATTTGCGACGCAATCCAGATTAAAGCAGTTTAGGTACAGTTCGTCTGCTCTCTTCACCTCTTAAGCGGTATTGTGCTGATGAGGATCCTGCCATTGACGCTAAGTGCTAGCAACACGGTCGTAACCCGTAGCTCATGCATTACGCCGCAGCGGGGCGCACGCGGCAATGAACTTCATTGCCGACGCTAATGGACTTTGCATGTGGACAGTCACAAAAATGGACTGGTTGTGATTAGCAAATGGACGCTGGAGTGATATGACAGTATTGCTCCCATATAAAACAAGAAGGAATTTGAGCTGGTAAAAAATTTTGGGAGCAGTGAAAATCAGTTGCGTTGTTTTCGTGTACGAATTCAAGATACTGCTAAATTCTGATCAACAGCTAGTAGTTTTATATCCGACAAATAACAATCCGCTCTAAACAATTATTTTTGTTTTCTCTAATTATTGCTAGAATATGGCTGGAATTTGGTAGAACCCACGGACAGTTCACAACTTTAGTAAACGGTCCCTCTAAATGCTCTCCAAAGTTATTACCTGTTGATTTTAAAACAATAAACAATACAGTCAAAATGAAAGTTAAGGGTCAATGAAATCTGTTCCTTGGGAAATGTTTGTAACAACTTTTTATAAGTTTAGTTTCGGAATATATTAGGATCATGTGACCCGACCACAAACTCCGTGGAGAAAATTTATGTTTACTAACATAACGCCTGTTGAGCAATATTTCGCGATTTTGTTACGGATTACTGAAGTCTACCGCCCACGTAAGTTTAACATCGGTGTGCACATTGTAATATTTGCTCTATTGTTTGTACATAAAGTAGCTTTTTTGTTGGCTGGAGTTAATGCAAAATATTTTCGTAAGTCGTGGGCTCATGAGCTCATTAGATCTCATGTCAGATATTCAGCACTTTAAATGGTGTAAGCTTATACCGATCTTCTTATCACACTAATATTATAAAGGCGAGAGTTTGTGAGTTGTATGTTTGTTACTTCGTCACCTCTAAATGGCTGGAGAGATTTTAATTTGGTATAGAGTTATCTGACACCCTGGATTAACACATAGATAGGCTACGTCTTACCGCGGGTAACACCGCGGGGCACAGCTAGTCTAATCTAATCTTTGTATGTCTGTTAGAGGTTTACCTATCAGATTGAACTCAAAGGAATTTTCATTTCTTTCAACATAAACCAATGTTGAACACAAGCTTTATATAATTTGCACCTTTAATTGCGGAAAATTAAGATAGAGTGAAGTCTTTAAAAAGATAGTCACCATCGTCTCTTATCGCCTTCGATTCTCGAGCAACATTATCGGTAGGTACCGAAGTGTAATTTAATTGTTTCTGCTACATAATTGAACTCCACTGTAATATCCTGTTCACGTCAAGTCAAAGGACATGATGAAACAGAAACCGTAGAAGTGAACTGTAGTTGAGGTATTCCTGTGCTTGAAACTAATTACAAAGTAACTTTGCGAATCGATTTCCTGGAAAAGGCTGATCAAAGTATGTACATAGTAGAGTAGCTAGCATCGTTAAATTGAATTAAACAACATAATATTTTAAATATTGACATAGCATAATATTTTAAAGTTTACTTTTCCTTCAAATCAAAGCTTGTATTACTGTGTCAACTCCATTCCATTTAGCAGAAACGCTTTTTAGCCTTTTAGAAACTGTGCGTGGGCAGCATTTTAACAAAGCACAGGACTATACCTTACAAATTGTTTTTCCAGCTGCGGGCTACACACATAAGAGAAACTTGGAAAATGATATCCCTACATTTCTTTGAGCCTTTTAGGCACTAAATATGTTCCAAGGCAGAGCGATGGTTTTATAGGTGTCGAAAGCTTTCATAAGGGTAGATTTTAGCGTCTCAATATTGATTCTCTCTGATAGCATATGCCAAAAATAACAAAACTGTTGAACTTTATCGCTATGGCCTTAAGAGCCAATATGTAAAGTTATTCCTGTGTCAGATCGCTCATTGGATTCCGGTCACGTACCTTTGGCGTAATAGAAAATAACTTTTTAGCGTAACTTTCGCTTTCCAAGAAGTATTTAAATGGAACGGCTGGTGAATTTTGTCTCACAGGGGAGTAATGGTGTCAAAATTCATTAAGGGATGGCTTAATAGAATAAAATATTTACGTTATTTTCTAGGTAAATTGACTAATCAAGATATTGTTACTAACATTGTTTATTGAAGTGACAGTAACATTGATTGAATTACTTGCTCTATTTCCTCTGAGAGTACCTTTGAACAAACTATCTTTTGTTCTTAATGTCCAAAACTGTAGGAATTCTAATTGAAAACCCTAATTTGTATTATTATTAGTCAAGAGGTGTAGGTAATAGAAATCTCAAGACTACAAAAACCAAAACGAGATCGTAATACAGAGTGAAAAACGGGTGAAGTTATTGTGTCTGTGTCACAACTTTTGACCTTCGTTCGTTTTAGCAGGCCTGTTCATCTCCGCGAGTTTACATCGAAAACAAAACACGCACGATTGCCCCCTACAAGAGTACTATTCGACAAGGCCTCACATACGAGCGAACATTGACTCACGCACGCGTATTCTTGTGTATGATGGAAAAAAATAAAGAAAATGGTGTACTAAATACTGTGCAGTATTTAACTGCCTAAATAATAATAAAAACACAGAATGTACTTTTTTAAGTTGCCTGAAGACACTGAGAGGTAAATAAGTAGTTAATATTATTCATGATAATTCATGCTAAATCATGCATGTATTTCCTCCGCCATTTTCTGCAGATTGGCACCTCACGTCACATCATTTTACCGAAGTCAGCCCTATAGCTTCGGCGCAGTACCGATCACTGACGTTTGTCAACAAAACTTCTGACAAACTTGCTTGACTCTTGAGACAAGCTAAATTACACCATATTGTTAATGACATTGAGCATACATTTTTTTAAATACCTTCGCGAAGTAAAACTTCTGTACGTAGTACTTATTATAATTCTGTGGTTTTAGTCAAATGACGTCCACTGCTGGACAAATACCTCCCCCAAGGATTTCCATAACGACCAGTCCTGCGCTGCCCGCATCCAGGCTCTTCCCGCGACCTTCACCAGATCGTCGGTCCACCTAGTGGGAGGCCTGCCTACGCTACGTCTTCCGGCCCGTGGTTGCCACTCGAGAACTTTTCTGCCCCAACGGCCATCGTCTCTACGAGCTATGTTCTTCGGCCACTGCCACTTAATTTTAGCAATTCTGCGAGCTATGTCGCTATGTAACTTTTGACCTCTTGCTTATAATTCATATCTCAACTAGAATACTATTTTTTATGTGCTAAAACTATAAATATGCCAGTACCTGTACCAGGTATCGCTTGAGTTGTTCATTTTACCCCCTACTGGATTCCTTCGCACTCCATTATCCCGGCTAATGAATATCGATTAACTAGCGTCCTTTGAGTGAAAAATAGACAGCCATATTGTTTACTGCTTGTACAGGCAATAGCACGTCAAGCTAAGTACTGTCTTATGTAGTCGCAAAAGGGGCGAGTTTGCAATGAAGATGTGTCTGTTGTCAACTGTACTTGGATTGGCTTTTTCTTTTTTCTTCAAGCTTAAAACAATTGCAGTTGGTTGCTTCTTCATCGAGCAAAGGGTGAGAGGTCTTACGCCTGTATTCACAAACATTACTATGAGGTCTCATAGTGCGCGTGGACGCACAGGGTCACACACGAATCAATCAGAGTTTTATTCAAATCTGTGCATTCAATTTACTGCTTGACAATTTAGGTAAATAATTGTATATGTATGTTGAACCATTTTATGAAAAGTCACAAAAGGATACGTCAAAAACATTTTCATAAAGGGTAATAATAGCCCGTCTTTCTAGTGTTAAGAAACAATTCCCAGAGTATGGTTGTTATAACAAATTAGTATGCTTAATTTAGCAATTAATGAGCAGTTTGAGATTTCAATGATCACACATACGAAG